TTGAGCTTAAATTAGAAGATTATAGACAAAATTCTAAAATATATTTTGGGCTTGAATATTTATTATTTTATTTAAATAAATATTTTGGTTCCACAAGCCAAAAAAATTTGGATAATTCTATAATTAAAATATATAGCTTAGTAACTTTAGAAAATGGTTCTATAATTTAAACAACTAAAGATTTTTATAGCAAAGCCTGGTATAGCAATATAGAAGTTGCTATGAATTCTAAAAAACTATCAGAATATTTGACAGATGATAGATTTTGCTATGGACAGGTATATGTTGTAATTTTTTTTAAAAAAATTTTCAAAATATATATATATTTTTTTTAATATTAGAGTGTAGCTCCTGTTCTAGACTTTTATTAATACTTAAGCAATTGACATATAGCAGTGCCGAAATACATATATATTACATATTAGAACTAGGACTAGGACTTTAGATCTAAGACCATTTATCTATGACTAAAACCCATCAGAGCCGTCAATACTTCCACACATGTGATTGACCTAGATTTTATACATCTCTCCTTAACTGCCAATTAGTATTCACATGTCTGCCACTTTATCTACATATCTAATATATTAACTTCCAAATTGGTGTATACTAGGTGGGTATTTATTGCTCCCAGTTTGGTGTACCCAATCCCAACTAGCATACTTCTAGGAGTTTGTATCTCAAGCCATGCAGCTGCCTCTACCCAATTGGGTAAGTATCTCAAGCCTGCATGCTGCTATAACTAGCTGATTTCCTGCGACTTTGAGACCAAGATTTTAACGTTTCAAATTCAGTAATGTGCGAACAACTGTATTTTCCGGTGACGAGGCTTGCCCAGGCATGTTTCGCAAATACTTCCAGTACTCAGTATAGTTGGATAGGATCATGAGGTCTAGGGATTCTTAACAGGTGTGTTATCATTTCTATTTATTGTGATTCTCAACAGTTGTAGCCTTTAGTTATCACTGCATTCACTTATACCAGCTATACCTGTATTGGTGGTCCTAAGTCCTTTTAATGTTTAAAAACTTCCATACGAGTATGACCAGAGCCTGTTAGATCTATTAACACATACATGCCTCTATGCTTCAACTTCTTATTAGTCAGTGAGTTTTGTATGCATCAAAGGTGTTCCAAATCTAGTAAGGCCAATTCTTTACCACAGGTCCTTTTGTGTTTACTACATTTCTCACCACTTTCCAATTCTAGTTACTGTCCAGTCATCTTTCTAAACAAAATCTTCAATGCTACCTTAGAGGCTGTTGGTACTATCTTGCTAATTGCTTGTATAATAGAACCTTCGTTAATGATCACCATTACACATAATGCTAACTACTTCACAATGGACCTTCTTCTGAAAATTTCTAATTCAGACCTGTATTTACTTGGACTTCTTATGGCAGATACTTCCAAATATTCGTAGATAAACATATCTACTAGAACTTGAACCCGAAACTCGCTCATAGAGGGTTGGGTGCCTAGATCACTAGGCCGCGAGATCCCAATATAAATTTTCAAAATATTAAATTTTTAATATTCAATTTTAGATATACTTATTAATCAAAGTCGAAACTATTAAAGTAAATTTATATAATCTTGTATTAATTCAGTGGTATGATTTTAAATTTAAAAAAGATCTATATTATTTAGGATGTCCTAGACTTCAAGAAACAGAATTATATAATATTGTAGATATTGAAGCAATTAAAAATCATGTTTATATAATTCCACGCTTTGATAATTCGAATGAATATTTAGTTAATAAGTATATGTTCTAAAATTTTAAATAAGATTAGAATAAATTAGAATTATTCAAAAGAAATAGCATTAAATCTAATTCAGATAGCAAAATTAAAATAAATCTAATTCAATTAAAATAAAATCAGTACATGATTAAACTATTTAAATAAAATTAAAATAATTAAAACTAAACCGCAACAGTTCGAATTAAATTAATTTAATACAGAAACTAAATTTTAATAATCTATGTAAATTAATATATTAATAAAAAGTTTATTAAAATAATTATAACATAATTAATTTGATTTATTTAAAATTTAATTTTATTATCTGATTCAGTATATTTTATGTTAATATGCTCTTATATAAATTAAATTATAATTAATTAATTCAACTTATTTTGAATTATTTTGAATTATTTAAAATATTTCAAACTCAATTTTTTTTGAATTAATTCAAAATGTTTCGAATTAATTAAAATTTAATTAAATAGAATAAAATTTATACAATTATATTATATTAAAATTAATTAAATGCGATATAAGTATTTATTAAGTGAATTAAAAAAAAACTAAACCATATAGAAACATTATATAAACGTATTATTTGAAATATTTATTATGTGTCCCAGCCCCGCATACAACTGTCGTAACTAACCAATACTTAAAGTTATGTCCATCTAATATTTTATAGTTAAATTAAAATATTTAAAATTTTAAGATTCCTGTTCATCATTGTTATTATTGTTATTATTGTTATCATCGTTATCATTGTTATTATCGTTATCATCGTTAGAAGGTGTAGTTTATTGCGGATTAGATGTGGTTGAGGTTCCTTCTTTCAGAACAGTTTGGCTTTTATCAGGATTAGTTTGGTTATCTTTTGGAGTTGCAGAAGAATATGATCTACGAGAGGTATTGCGGATTGATGTAGGTGTTTGTGCAGATACAGAAGTTTTACTCTTTTTACTACTAGTCAAAAGCTGGCAAATCAGGTACAAATTGGGTATACTATATTTAAACCTGATAATTACCCGATTTATACTAATTTTTAAATTTGACTGCTTGATTGATGCTGATTTATGGTACAAATCGGCATGCTATCAGGATAAAACCAATATAAATCAGGTATCAATCGGGGTGATTTTTTTTAGACTTGGAGTACTATAAATATCGTTCGTTAAGACATGAGCAAGTGATATGAAGTCACAGATTATTTAAACTGGGGTCAAAATTAGATTGGATCAAGCGACCAATTTAAGAGCCATTTTAATCTAGACCCCGCATTTAATGATACAGAACCTGTGATAGTATATGTAGATGCTATCAAGAAACCTGCTATCAGGGTTCAAGTTTGTTGCTTACTGGACTCACTCATTCGATTCGTTAAAGATTATGCTCAGTAAATTTTAAATTCAAAATCCCAATACAGGATTTTCTTGGCAGTATTCGTGAACTTTATAACATACTGAAATTGCGGCATAAGTGCATAGTAATACTTGTTGTATTATTGCAACACACGTGAGGTAATGCTATTTAACATGTTATGCATTGTATATGCCATAAAACTATACTATATATCGTATATACAAGAGAAAGTCGTAATATTAAAATTATGTAAAGTCAACTTATTTATCAATTAAGTCTGTTTCCGATTATTTAACTGGTATTTATTTTGAAGCAATATTATGACAAACTAACTATTTGTTTTTAAAAGCTATTTATTATAGAATTACTACATCCTACTGGAATTAGGATCCATATAATAGTGTTTCGAGCATAATACTGCCGGAGTTAGACCTACATCAATACATATCTACGTCAATGCTACAAAAAAGTTGCAACTTCACTACAATCATTATCTCATTACAGCTGTACCACTAGGCATGTCAATATTACAGTAGGTATATATCTAGCATTATGACAAACGTCAATTGTAGCTTTTTGAAGTTTCAGCAACATCTTGAATTATGATCGTGGATACTATGTAATCGATCCCAATTCTATACATTTCATCAGCGTACCCTTTCATGATAATATCCAAAGTTTTCTGCTCTTGCGTCTTATCAGAATATCTTAAAGAATGTCAGTTGAACTAAGACTGCGAGAACTAAGTAATGTTCTCGAATAAGCAACTTACTACATGTTGAGACGTGTTGGCTGGCTTCTTTTAATCTACTTGCTATATAACTTAATAACAAATTAATATAGAATATCCTATCAGTCTTGCCAAAATGACTTTCACAAGACGTAGACATACTTACAACTTCAATTCCTAATGGCCAACTCAATATTATAGCTATTTACTGTAATTGATGTTTTTATATATATTCAGATCTATATATATATATATATATATAAATAAATAGGTACCAATGATGGTAAACGAAACTACCACAATCAAATGCATACTTAAAATATATATTTAAAGTGTATATCAATTAAAGTTACAGTACGTATATCAATTAAAGTTACAGTACGTATATTAATTAAAGTTACCGTATATCAATTAAAGTTATATATATTTCTAATTAAAGTTACACATATTTCTAATTAAAGTGCTAATTATTGATTAATAACGTAGTAATCAATATATTATGATTTTGGTTAGTTCGATGATAATTGATAATTTGATCTATATCAATTTCTTACCTATTATCGTTAATAAGCGATTTATGATATATATTGCTAAATAACAAATTAATTGATGTTTAGCATTTAAATTTAATTGATATAAAATGATTAAGCATTATATATCATTATAAATCTATTTAAAAAAATTCATGATGTTGGTTATGGAAGCTTGTAATATATACAGTATTAAAATTTTATAAAGATCTTTTTTTTTGCCAATATGCCTATTACTAATATGTATATTAATCTTTTTAATATCTTATAGCTATTTTCTAAATTCTGGGATATCCTAAAAAATTTACCAAAGTCTACTAGCATGTAGAACCCGGTGTTGCTCAGGTTTTAGTTTTTAATTTTTTGCTAATTCTTAGGCCTCAATAAATTAGATTATGGCATATGTTTTAGATTTTGGCATTTGTTTTAGATTGCCAAAAATTGGTACTTACAGCCAGATTTCAGTATGATTAATGCATGATTAGTATATAAAAAATTATTGAGTTACTATTATTACAGCATATTGTTTAATCAACATAATATTATATTCACAATATCAACTATTTCAACTTTTTTTTTTTTTTTTGCCTTATCCAATATATATGATACAAAAATTTATGTCAAAAACTGTTCTTGCCAATTAACTAAAAATGTTTTGAACATAAGTTGGACTTTCTTAATAAACATATAAACTTCA